TTTATGTATTTAAATGTTTCTATCATATCCCCCCTGTCTCGTCTTTCCTCCAAGCTATACATGTTAAGATCCTTTAACTTTTCCTGGTAAGTTTTATCCCGCAATCCATGAACCAGTTTAGTAGCCCTTCTCTGAACCCTCTCTAAGGTATCAATATCCTTCTGAAGATATAGTCTCCAGTACTGTGTACAATACTCCAAGTGAGGTCTCACCAGTGTTCTGTATAATGGCATGAGCACTTCCCTCTTTCTACTGCTAATACCTCTCCCTATACAGGGAGTGCAGAATTATTAGGCAAGTTGTATTTTTGAGGATTAATTTTATTATTGAACAACAACCATGTTCTCAATGAACCCAAAAACTCATTAATATCAAAGCTGAATATTTTTGGAAGTAGTTTTTAGTTTGTTTTTAGTTTTAGCTATGTTAGGGGATATCTGTGTGTGCAGGTGACTATTACTGTGCATAATTATTAGGCAACTTAACAAAAAACAAATATATACCCATTTCAATTATTTATTATTACCAGTGAAACCAATATAACATCTCAACATTCACAAATATACATTTCTGACATTCAAAAACAAAACAAAAACAAATCAGTGACCAATATAGCCACCTTTCTTTGCAAGGACACTCAAAAGCCTGCCATCCATGGATTCTGTCAATGTTTTGATCTGTTCACCATCAACATTGCGTGCAGCAGCAACCACAGCCTCCCAGACACTGTTCAGAGATGTGTACTGTTTTCCCTCCTTGTAAATCTCACATTTGATGATGGACCACAGGTTCTCAATGGGGTTCAGATCAGGTGAACAAGGAGGCCATGTCATTAGATTTTCTTCTTTTATACCCTTTCTTGCCAGCCACGCTGTGGAGTACTTGGACGCGTGTGATGGAGCATTGTCCTGCATGAAAATCATGTTTTTCTTGAAGGATGCAGACTTCTTCCTGTACCACTGCTTGAAGAAGGTGTCTTCCAGGAACTGGCAGTAGGACTGGGAGTTAAGCTTGACTCCATCCTCAACCCGAAAAGGCCCCACAAGCTCATCTTTGATGATACCAGCCCAAACCAGTACTCCACCTCCACCTTGCTGGCGTCTGAGTCGGACTGGAGCTCTCTGCCCTTTACCAATCCAGCCACGGGCCCATCCATCTGGCCCATCAAGACTCACTCTCATTTCATCAGTCCATAAAACCTTAGAAAAATCAGTCTTGAGATATTTCTTGGCCCAGTCTTGACGTTTCAGCTTGTGTGTCTTGTTCAGTGGTGGTCGTCTTTCAGCCTTTCTTACCTTGGCCATGTCTCTGAGTATTGCACACCTTGTGCTTTTGGGCACTCCAGTGATGTTGCAGCTCTGAAATATGGCCAAACTGGTGGCAAGTGGCATCGTGGCAGCTGCACGCTTGACTTTTCTCAGTTCATGGGCAGTTATTTTGCGCCTTGGTTTTTCCACACGCTTCTTGCGACCCTGTTGACTATTTTGAATGAAACGCTTGATTGTTCGATGATCACGCTTCAGAAGCTTTGCAATTTTAAGAGTGCTGCATCCCTCTGCAAGATATCTCACTATTTTTGACTTTTCTGAGCCTGTCAAGTCCTTCTTTTGACCCATTTTGCCAAAGGAAAGGAAGTTGCCTAATAATTATGCACACCTGATATAGGGTGTTGATGTCATTAGACCACACCCCTTCTCATTACAGAGATGCACATCACCTAATATGCTTAATTGGTAGTAGGCTTTCGAGCCTATACAGCTTGGAGTAAGACAACATGCATAAAGAGGATGATGTGGTCAAAATACTCATTTGCCTAATAATTCTGCACTCCCTGTACAACCAAGCATTCTGCTAGCATTTCCTGCTGCTCTATTACATTGTCTGCCTATCTTTAAGTCATCAGAAATAATCACCCTTAAATCCCTTTCCTCATATGTTGAGGTTAGAACTCTATCAAATATTCTGTACTCTGCCCTTGGGTTTTTACGTCCAAGATGCATTATCTTGCACTTATCCACATTAAATGTCAGTTGCCACAATTCTGACCATTTTTCTAGTTTACCTAAATCATTTGTCATTTGGCTTATCCCTCCTGGAACATCAACCCTGTTACATATCTTAGTATTATCAGCAAAAAGACATACCTTACCATCAAGACCTTCTGCAATATCACTAATAAAAATATTAAAGAGAATGGGTCCAAGTACAGATCCCTGAGGATGATGGAGATTTGGTATCAGATGTTACTGTAGGTGAAAGTTTAGGATCCAGTGATCATCAGTCAGTGTGGTTTAATATAAGAACAGTGACTGAGTCACACCACACAAAAACAAAAGTTTTAGACTTTAGAAAAACAGACTTTTCTAAAATTAGAATATGGGTAGAGGAGTCATTATCAGACTGGAGCAATTTAAATGGAGTCCAAGAGAAATGGGATTATTTAAAAGTTGCACTATTGAAGGCAACAGAAAATTGCATTAGGCTTGTCAGTAAAAGCAAAAAATTCAAGAAACCACTGTGGTACTCCGCAGATGTGGCCAAAATAGTTAAAAACAAAAAGTTAGCATTTAGGAATTATAAAAAAACCCAGAGTGAGGGAGACAAAATGATCTATAAGATTAGGCAGAAAGAGGCTAAGCAAGTTATAAGAGCTTCCAAATCACACACAGAAGAGAAAATAGCACAGTCAGTAAAAAATGGGGATAAAACATTTTTTAGATACATAAATGAGAAAAGAAAAGTAAAACAAGGATTAGTTAGATTAAAAACAAAAAAAAAAATCATATCCAGAGTAAGGGGCCACAAATATTTAAAGGGACACAATAAGCACCCAGACCACCTTATCTCATTGAAGTTGTCTGGGTGCAGTGTCCATGTCCCCTTAACCCTGCAGTATAAACCATTGCAGTTTCAGAGACCCTGCAATGTTTGTATTGCAGGGTTAAGATTGCCTCTAGCCGCTGTCTTCCAGACTGCCACTAGGGGTGCTTCCTGCTGTTCCATGGAGTTTGACTCTGTGAAACAACGCTGGACGTCCTCACACTGTGCATGAGAATGTCCAGCTGTTGCAAAAAAAAAAAAACATAGGAAAGCACCAATTCAGTGCTTTCCTATGGGAAAACGGATAGCGAGGGTGGCACTCACAGTGCATGTGCATTAGATTTTCCCTCAGTGCAGATGTCAAAGGATGCAGAGATGGAGCCCTCTCTAAGGGACTTCGGTGCTGGAGTAAGGTAAATGTTTTTTTAAAATTCTTTATTTTTGAGTACAGGGATGGAGCATTACAATACTTGCATGAACAATATTTGTGGTTACAAAACGTTGTTGGCTTGGCCTTTGTCTGCATCAGGACAGCAGTTGAGCCCTTTTTAAATGTGTTTGAGGAGTTTGGCTGCTAGTCTCATTATTAAAGTCAGGAGACAATGGCCAAACTTCAGTGATGACGCTAGATGGTGCACACAGGGAAACAGCTTTCTCCAGGAACACGCCAACTCCACAGTTTCTAGTAGGAATGAGGAGTGTATATCGTATATCTAGCTATGTGTATAAAGAAAAACACAACTTGACACATGGCCCCAAGTAGGTTGACTTTGAAATCCCTGTCCTAAACAAAATTGTAGTTAATTCACTAATCTCTAAATTTGTTTCTGGATGACAGAAATTAGGAATAATTGCAGAATTAGCCTCCAGTTTTCCATTTATATATCCACTTCAGGCATTACAGCGCCAAATTCAGAGTTTAAAATGGTAATTCAGTTTGGAGCATTTTTGTTATTAAAAAATGTTCGGGGGGCGGGGCCTGGCTGCAGAGCTGTGAGGAAGCTCACCACAGCAGCTCCTGCTAAACTCGGCACTTAATGCTAAATTTCACCGTTACACAGGCATTTAATTGTGAATTTAAAGCTACCACTCGAGAGTAGACACCGAGGGGAAGAAAACAATACCTCTCCAGCGACGAACCGAGCACAACTCACAATGAGGCCTACAAGCATGGCGGGCGCAGGGGAGACGGCCGCTCCCCAGCTGCAATGCCATGCCCGGAATCTGGCTGCAAGCCCTCGTTCCCCCCCCTCTGGACCGGTGGGGGTTATCCCGGTCTACCCCCAACTGACTCCCTGGCAAAGCAATGGGCCAGAATCGGCTCCGTGGAGCCCAAAACTAACAGACCCAGCGGTGTTCAATATGGCGGAAACCTCCGACGCATGGCGGGAAACGGAGATGCGGCTGAACAGCATCTTCGCTATTTTCTGGGAGTCCCTGGAAGCCCGCATGAGAGCCCCACTCCAGACCTCGCCACAGCGCACCTCACAGGAGGCCAGACGGGGACAAACAGCAGCGCAGCCCCAACAACAGCTGTATCACAAGGGTGACGCTAACCCAAACCGGCAGGGGCAGAGGCTAGTCACAAGGCCCAAAAAAACGAAAGCTGGACGGCGGCAGAGGGGCAAGTACTCGCACCCCCCATGCAAGGCAGTGAAACGGAGGGGACAGGCGAAACTGAGCACAAGACCTCCCCAGATACGGCAAGTGAAGCAGAGGGGAGCAGGACCAGGGGAGGTGACCGCGTCAGGAAGGTACATACAGAGCTACCCCAGCCCAAGACAGGCAAACCTTCCCCGACGCACAGCTTGGCTGGAGCTACACTCAGCGCCCACAGCAACACTGCATAGCCTAGGGGACATCAGCTCCTTCACACCGAGGAGATCGCACCAGCTGCACCGATTACCGCAGAAGGTACATACACAGCCCCAACAAGGCATCGGCTGACCCCCAAAGGGACTAAGACTCAAATCTGGGCATAATACCATCTGTCACACAGCTCTCTGTGCCCCAATTGAACTCTCACGAATGTATACTGGAACATATAATTTACTTCTTTTGCTTTCTATTTTGTTTTCTGGTCTGCTCACCCAGGGGAGCACGGGGGGGACTAAAGTCAGAGTTCAGCAATTGTATAATATGAGTACACAAGCTAAGATTAGTCAGAATTTAAGCAACTAATGTACTTCTAGTACGCTTGGCTTTGCGCCATGTCTGTAAACTGCTGTTTAACTGGTGGGCCCAAGCGAAATATATGCTCCTGGACTCACAAATATTGCTGGAGCACCATAAGATCAGCTATGTTTCTGTCCTACACTATACCTCAGCTAACGATTGCTCCTGATTAATGCTTAATTACTCACACAGGATCAGCCCTGACTTAGGCCAATACTAAACATTTTGCAGCACTAAACCAGCTAAAGTAATCAAGCTGCTGCTTAGCAGATAGGCCCCAAGCGACACATATACCACGACACCCACAAACACTGCTGGAATACAATACTGTATACCTCACATAAAGGCGTAAACCAACATGTGACCCAGCTACTTAAACGCTTTTGCCCATACCTGTGTTGAACCGTACACTGCTTAAGGTTGTCTTTCCTGTTCATTAAATTACAAAAACGTGCTGAGTTAACTTATGCCACGAAAATGTTTTACTATGTTATATTTGACTGCGTCTGTTACAGCTGTTGTGGCTACACAGACACTGTTGTAAATTCTTGCACGACAAAAATAAAGAATTTAAAAAAAAAAAATTTTAAAAAATGTTCGAATTCTGTACGCAGATTCAGGAATGAGCAGATGGGCAGCCACAAGTCAACACACACTGTTTATTAAACACACTGCTGACCCTATTTAAGAGTGCAATGAGTGCTCCTCTGGTTTAGGAACTCATTTTTCTTTTCTTTTATAATTTTTTGCATATTTAACAATTCTTTTTTCTAAGATACAATAAGAAACATGTTAAAAATAAATATATTTATTTTAATGTTCGAGTGTTCATGTTTTACTTTACAGTGCTCCCTTGTTAAAATAAAAAGGTACAAGACTGTTTAGCAAATATGGAAATTAATCCTGAATGTCTTCAATAAGCTGGAAAATGTCTTAAGTCTGCACAAACAGAGATTTTGCAGAGTTCCACAGCATTTCCAAACTATATCATTTTGAATTGAATCTAACAATTTCAGTTTGTCTGCTTAACCCCGTAAAGTGGCACAATAGTTACCAGAACGACTACAGCTTAATGTAGTTGTTCTGGTGACTATAATCAGTCCCTGCAGCCTTTTTGCTGTAAACACTGCCTTTTCAGAGAGAGCCGAGGCGGTGCGAAACTGATCCATGGCCCACCCAGACACATACATTCAGACACACACACATACATGCAGACACATACACACCCATACAGAGACACAAACACACACATACAGACAGATACATACAGACACACAGACACACATGCATACAGACACCCCCCGACAGACATACACACAGACACATACATATACACATACATACAGACACACACACACATACATACAGTCTGTATGTATGTGTCTGTATGGTGTGCGTCTCTGTATGGGTGTGTGTCTGTATGTCTGTATGTATGTGTGTGTCTGTATGTATGTGTCTTTATGATACAGACACACACACATAGACACATACACATATAGACACATACATACAGTCTATGTGTATGTGTGCATCTCTGTATGTGTGTGTGTCTCTGTATGTGTCTGTAGGTGTGTGTGTCTATATGTGTCTGTATGATACAGACATACATACACACACACACACAGATCATACACATACAGACACACACACAGTCTGTATGCATGTGTCTGTATGTGTGTGTCTGTATGTGTCTGTCTCTGTATGTATGTGTCTGTATGATACAAACATACATACAGAGACACACACACATACAGACACATACATACACACAGACAGACACACACATATACAAAATGTTTAAGTCACCCTCCTGTTTCCTACCTTTTGCAGGAGGGTGACTTTCCCTGGGGTCCAGTAGGGGCTCAGCCTGATGGGAGTCAGAGTTCCCACTCTGACTCCTTCCTCCCGCGCGGCTCTCTGATAGCTGGGAGGAGTGACGGGTAGTCACTTCCTCCTAGCTTTGTCTGACATCAGACTGAAAATCTATATCCATCGGGTGGCCCTAAAAGCATTGGCCACCCGATGGGCCCCTTCATGTGCGGCCCCGGCGGTTTGCCACGGGCGCAGGGGTCCGCAGGGTGCTGGAAATAAGGTAAGTTTATTACTTTTTAAGGGGGGCAATCTACCTAAATTGTGTTTTTAACACTATAGGTTCAGGAATAAATGTTTGTGCTCCTGACCCTACAGTGTTTATTTAAGTACAGAGACAATTGTACAAGTTCTGACAAAAAGTAAACTTGGATTTTGAGCTATATGTCTGTTCAACCATAACTGACCTCTTTCATATTCAAGTGCACCCATACTCAGCGATGTATCTTACACAAGGCAAACAGGGCATTTGCCTTGGGCGGCAAAAAAAGACGCCCCCAAACACCCAGGCGGATGCCTTGTTTGCCTCGTGTTGTGGGGAGCTCAAGAGCTGGCCGGCTGGCCACTTGAAGTGGGCGGCAGCTTCTATTGCTGTTGGGCAGCTCTTCCTGCTCATATCCCTTGCGCGCCGCTTAATGAAGCCGGGAGCCAGAATATGACGTCGTTCCGGCTCCCGGCATCACTAAGCGGCGCGCGAGGGAGCTGAGCAGGAAGATTAGAGCTCCCTCGCCACCTACTCTTTCTGTCCACCCCCTACCTGCCCGTGCAGCAGCCACATTGGACCGCAGGTAAGTAATCCACTCCAGCTCTCCCAAGGAGACTGGGTGGATTTAAAGTAAAATAAAAAATAAAAGTTATAATTTGTGAGTGTTGGAGGAAATGTGTGTCTGTGAGTGAATGTGAATGTGTCTGTGAGTGAGTGAATGTGTGTGTATCTGTCAGTGTGTGTGTCTGTAAGTGTGTGAATGTGTGTTGCTGTGAGTGTGTGTGTGTGTCTGCCCATACTTATTTTATATCATTTTGTTCAGGAGAAACAGAGCTTTCATTTCATATCAAATATTTATATATGGAACAAAATTTTAAATAAATAAAGAATGAATATGACCCACATCATGACATAGGCATACAATTTGCAAAAGTAGACAATTCATTGTATGTTCAGTTGTTTTTAGAAGCCACTTAGACACAAACCCTGGCAAAAGCTAGTATTCATATTTGATCTTTGTATTTTTAACAGAACAACTGCCCTTTCACAGGGTCAAATATACACCCTGTTCCAAATTATTATGCAAATTCTATTTAAGTGTCACAAAGATTAAATATTTTGTTTTTCAGTTTAACTCATGGATGACATTGTGTCTCAGGGCTCTTTTGATCACTGAAAACAATCTGTGACACGTGTGATAATTAGATTGCCAGGTGAGCCCAATTTAAGGAAAAACTACTAAAGGAGGGTGTTCCACATTATTAAGCAGAGTACCATTTTCATGCAATATGGGGAAGTAAAAGGATCTCTCTGCTGCCGAAAAGAGTGAAATAGTTCAATGCCTTGGTATGAAAACTTTAGATATTTCATGAAAACTTACGCGTGATCATCGCACTATTAAGAGATTTGTGGCTGATTCAGAGCACAGACGGGTTCGTGCAGATAAAGGCACATTGAGGAAGATTTCTGCCAGATCCATGCATTGGATCAAGAGAGCAGCTGCTAAAATACCATTACATAACAGCAAACAGATATTTGAAGCTGCTGGTGCCTCTTAGAGTCCCACGGACATCAAGGTGTAGAGTCCTCCAGAGTCTTGCAACTGTGCATAAACCTATTCGGCCACCACTATCCACTGCTCACAAGCAGAAATGGCTGCATTGGGCAAAAAAATACATGAAGACTAATTTTCAAACAGTCCTGTTCACTGATGAGTGCCGTGCAACCCTGGATGATCCAGATGGATGGAGTAGTGGATGGTTGGTGGACGGCCATCCTGTTCCAACAAGTCTGCGACGTCAGCAAGGTGGTGGTGGAGTTATGTTTTGGGCAGGAATCATGGGAAGAGAGCTGGTCGGCCGCTTTAGGGTCCCCGAAGGTGTAAAGATGACCTCTGCAAAGTATGTGGAGTTTCTGTCTGACCACTTTCTTCCCTGGTACAGAAGGAAGAACTATGCGTTCCATAATAAAATCATCTTCATGCATGACAATGCACCATCTCATGCTGCAAAGAATACCTCTGCATCAATGGGGATAAAAGTAGAGAAAGTCATGGTGTGGCCTTCATCCTCCCCTGACCTCAATCCTATTAAGAACCTTTGGAGCATCCTCAAGCAAAGGATCTATGAGGGTGGGAGGCAGTTTACATCCACACAGCAGCTCTGGGAGGCTATTCTTACATCTTGCAAACAAATTCAAGCAGAAACTGTCCAAAAACTCACAAGTTCAATGGATGCAAGACTTGTGAAGCTGCTATCAAATAAGGGGTCCTATGTTAAAATGTAACGTGACCTGTTAAAATGTTTAAAAAGTTAAAATGTTGTTATAAGTTTGATTGAAATAGCTTTTGATTTCAGTAAATATACTGCAAACACAACAAATTAAAATTTTCAGTTCTTTACAACCTATAAAGTGTTTTGAAACTTACTGTGCGTAATAATTTGGAACAGTGCATTGTAAGTTTTTTATGTTTAAAAAAAATACTGTTATCATTAGGAGGTTTGTTCAATAAAATTTGAATTGTACTCTTAATAGTTGATAACATGAGAATTATGCTGACTGTTATTACATCAGTTATTTAGGTAAATGAGAAAAATATCATTTGCATAATAATTTGGAACAGGGTGTAGGGCTTGCAAATTAAATTCTCTGAACTTTGGCAGCCCAAAGTCTTAGAATGAAAGTATATATATATATATATATATATATATATATATATATATATATATAAATTTATTATTCAAAGTGTATTTTGATATTAATATCTATTGATATCTATATAGATTTTGAATATTAGAGAAAAGTGGGCACTAATAGGACTTTTGTTAGAGAAAATTAGAAAAGTTTTTAATTGTGCAGTGTCAACATTTTAGGCCCACTCGTGGTCCTTTCTCAAGACAAATTACAACAATCACAACATCATATATATAATTAAAAAAAGGAACTACTTTTCTCTCTAATATTCGAAGTGTATTTATGTTCCACCGTGGAGCAACGAGGCATTATTATTCAAAGAGTTTCTTCGTTCATAGAACCAGATAAAAGTGAGTGCCTTCCTACTTCTATTTTTTGGTATATATATAAAATCCTACAGTGTGGACGTGTGCCAAAATACATTTCTGCCCCAGGTGCTGTGTATCCTCTGTATAACACTCGTGTCTTGAGCTCCTTATCATTGATGTGCCACTCCCACTCCCATATCTCAGAGCTAAGTATATTTACAAAATACAGATACTGGCCGAGCCCAGAAATCTGTGTTATCTAAAATACTTCTACTCCTAGAGTGCAATGCATTGTATCTTTATAGCTTACAAAATAATTTTTTATTTTTGTTTATTTATTTCCTTATGAATTGATACCTTCCCTTTTGGGTTGTCTACAAATACCAATAACATATCAACAGATATATCAAATGAGGCTACGTTATCTTCTGTCTTCTGATGGAAAATCCACTGCTTCCATTAGTCTCCTTTGCTGCCACGGATTGAATCAATATTAATAGAGCCCTTGCGGGAAGGCCCTCCTGTGATTGTAACAGTCAGAGAGTATGTTAAAGCCGACATGCTGAATTTCAAACTGCTTTGTGTTCCCATGTTTGCCTGGTGACTACTGAATGGAGACGTATTATGTCAGGAACTAAACTAATTATTGGAAAGCATTGGGAGAGATCTATCTCCCTTTCAGCAGCTTTATTGCGCCACAAGATTAATGATTTAATGCTCGTGGAAAACTTTACCAACACACTATAACACTCCATACGTCAGCACCAAGCAATCTTCATCCCCCGAGAACATTATGTTCTTGTATGTCCTAAAATGGGTTTTTCCTTACTCCTTACCATTAGTGTTCATCTCGCTTATCTTGTATGATATATTCAAATTAAAACAAAACATAAGCACTGCATGACTGTAATAGCTTTACAGCTGTGTGTAGATATTTCTACACAGTGTCCAGATACATAAATATCAACTGATAAAGAGGAGGTAAAATCATTTAACTCTGCCAATGCAACGGTTGTAAATTCAAAAGTTCTTTTATAATAGTGTTATGACTCACCCCTGGAGCTCTCAGTCTAACACTACTGATAAAGGCTGACATATTTAAACTGAAAGTACCAAGCACCATAACACCTACAGCACACAAACTGGTGGACAGTAACCATAAAAGCATATCACCGATAACCACTACAATGTGCTTCGGTGGTTGTAGGACTTTTAGTTCCCCTCTAAGGAGCACTATATTGTTTGGCATACAAAGATGTATTTCTAAGAACTCTCTGCCACCCCCCTCGCTTTCTTCCTCCCAGTGATATAAAGGGTTAAATAACCCCTTCAACACTTAGCTGATTCCAGCACCCATATCCTTGGTGCTGGGGTGGGCTCCTCCTCCGCTGAAGTTAGTCGATAGGGGAACCCTAATAAGATTTTAAAATCAATTGACAGTGAGTGAAAAAAGTATTTGATCCCTTGCTGATTTTGAACGTTTGTCCACTGACAAAGAAATGATCAGTCTATAATTTTAATGGTAGGTGTTTTTTTACAGTGAGAGACAGAATAACAAAAAAAAATTCCAGAAAAATGCATGTCAAAAAAGTTATAAATTGATTTGCATGTCAATGAGTGAAATCAGTATTTGACTTCTTCGACTTAGTACTTGGTGGCAAAACCCTTGTTGACAATCACAGAGACGTTTCTTGTAGTTGGCCACCAGGTTTGCACACATCTCGGGAAGGATTTTGTCTCACTCCGCTTTGCAGATCCTCTCCAAGTCATTATGGTTTCGAGGCTGACGTTTGGTACTTCGAACCTTCAGCAACCTCTACAGATTTTCGATGGGATTAAGGTCTGAAGACTGGCTAGGCCACTCACGGACCTTAATGTGCTTCTTCTTGAGCCACTCCTTTTTTGCCTTGTGTGTTTTGGGTCATTGTCATGCTGGAATATCCATCCACGAACCATTTTCAATGCCTTGGCAGAGGGAAGGAGGTTCTCACCCAAGATTTGACGGTACATGGTCCCATCCATCGTCCCTTTGATGCGGTGCAGTTGTCCTGTCCCCTTAGCAGAAGAACAACCCCAAAGCATAATGTTTCCACCTCCATGTTTGACGGTGGGGATGGTGTTCTTGGGGTCATAGGCAGCGTTCCTCCTACTCCAAACACGGCGAGATGAGTTGATGCCAAAGAGATCGATTTTGGTCTCATCTGCAAACTTCAGATGGGCCTGTGCATTTTTGTTTTTACGTTCATCATAGACTTTATCAATCTGGACACTCATCAAGCCAATAAGCAGAGGGTAACAATAATAAAAGTTTAATATAGATATTGTTTTAAAGGGCACATACATGATCAATAGAACTATGAGGTTCTCACAATTTGGCTAACATGAGCACTCCATAAAGCAGAATCACTGTCAGAGGTAAAAGAGTTACAACAATGTTTTTAGTTGCAATTAAAACCATTAGTCACTTTGGTTAGAGCATTTCCAATGAAATGCCATGAGCAGTTAAATTAAGTAGAGAGTTATAACTGATACAGTTAGCTGGGTATTCACAAACTGTTAAGGAAGTTTTCAAGCAAGAGACTTGCTAAAGGGTCGAACGTCTATGTTTGTAGGATGGGAATGATAAGTTCCGGTTTAAAGATTTTATTTAATCATGGAAAAACAGTAGCAGCAATAACTTGGTTAGATGATTTCCATGAGACAGGTGGTTTTGGAAGTGGTCATAAGAAATGTAAATACCTCATCTTTAGTAACTGGGAAGAAGACGCTTTATTTAAAAGTAAAAAAAAAAACTGAATTAGAGGTGAGAGGGGGTAGTGGAAAAAGATTTCTCATCTACTATACTCAGTCTTATTAAAGTTGAATGCAAAGTTGTATACTGTGAGATTACTTGATGTAAGGTTGCAGCTGGACAGAACGTGAGTTGAAAGTATTAAAGTAGGTCATAGGCTTGTGAGAGAAAGTGGCAACAAGGGAAGTCAAGTTTTCTTAAACAAGGAAAGGGGCCGTGGTGTTAGTGCGTAGCATGAATTTATATTGCAGGAAGTAAGATGCACAGTTAAACTTCCTCCAGCTGTTTGTAAGGCAACACCAGAGCTAGTGTTGTGGTTTGCATTATTGTCTTTAGTGTTGTTGAGATGGTTGAATTAAAAACAAAGTTATCTAAATTAAGACATTAGAAGGCTAAAATTGAAGAATGGATGTAATTGACAGTTAAAAATCCGGATTTGATCAAAAGAAGTGTATATAAGTGTATATAAGTGCATGAAGCTGTGTGCAGTAACATACAGATTACACATGGTATTCCGATATTGGAAAACGTGAGCTAGAGAAATATTTAGGATTGAGTACATATTAGAAAAGATTCATTAAAAGGTGTATTGCGTGTAAGGGAATTAAACAACTGAATGTGTATCAATTAAGATGTTGAAATATCCAAGCATTCTAGAAAAATGTCAGAAACCGACAATGAAGCCAAGAATGTACAGATATTGAAGAATGTACAGAGTTCAGTAGGCTAATAGCATGAATCTCAAAAGGGGAGAATGAAAGAGAGAAGGTGTTGGGTGACAGCTGGAAAGGTGCTTTGTGGGAAAAGCCGTGTGTGAATTAGCTTGTATTTATTTTATGGATTACTTTATTTGTTCTAAAAGACTGCTAATTGGTGCAAGGAGATTGTACGTTTTTTTATTTGTCCCAAAAATGTAATTCTGCCCAATAAACAGGTAAATTATATAATAATATGTCGCAGCTATACTCCTACATTGATGCAAACATATGTAGCCCTGATTTTACAAACGCTCAAACAGAAAGAAGTTGAGAAAAGCATGTATTTAATTTGCTTTAGGCAGTACCTGCCGTACTAGAGGACAGAGCTTAACATAAACCTTACCCCTTTTCAAGTACACACATGTATGCCTTGTAGAATATGCTCCAGGACACAGATCACACTCAGACATCCTTAATTCAGGTCTAGTGGAGCACAAGAGGCCAAATAGGGGAGAGAGAAGCCGTACTACTGCCATCCTTCCAGATGTTACGCCCAAGAGAAAAGATGCTTTGTTTGTGCAGTTGTCGAGGTTACATAGTCACAGATCTGGTTACGGCCTGTAGTGATATTAGGCAGCCTCCGCTGCAGCCGGAGACCAGTCTGCTTCTAATTACACTTCATTTGTAGTTAGGTCTGTAAAAGTCAGTGTCAAAAACGCAAACTACTGAACTTTAGAAGAATTCTAATGATAAGTTACAGAAATGGAATGGTGCATTAAAATAACAGGGTATAGAAGATGTGTCGTTCCTTATTTGCAAATGGCTGTTCAAGAAAATGTGGTAATTCTTCTGTGATATATCTTCCAATATACTGTGTAATCTGACATTTTTACAGTGCCCTGGCCATCAGCCTTGTAGATTGCATTTCATGAGATTTCATCATTTTATAAGGAACTAGCATTTTCCTCCACTGCGTTAACCCCCTATAAACTTTTGTTAACCCCCTATAAACTAGTTTTTATTGTTAACATGGAAAGTTCCACTAATTTATTGACAATATATTGAGCATTCAGCCATTTTCAATGCTTTCCTATGAACGCTGGCGTCTTTTCACTGTGAAAATCACAGTGAGAAGCGCAGAAGCACCTCTAGCGGCTATCAATGAGACAGCCACTAGAGGCTGGATTAACCCATAGGTAACTGCTATGTTTACAGCAGAAAGGGTTAATCCTAGGTGGACCTGGCACCCTGACCACTTCATTAAACTGAAGTGGTCTGGGTGCCTATAGTGGTCCATTAACGCAAAAATAGTAAGCAGCGCCAGCAAACAAGCCAAGGTTGTGCAATCCAAAGATACACAAGTACATAAAACCAGGCAGGGTCAAGGAGTACATAGATCAAGTTAAATAAGCCCAGTCTGTATACGAGAGAGAACAGAATGCTTAGGGAGTGGGTGCATTATCAAAGGGACAGTGTAAGCACCAAAACTGCTTCCTCTCATTGAAGTGGTATAGTGTCTGTAAATCCCTGGCGCTTTCTTTCCCGTCATAGTTAAAACATTTTTAATGCTTAAAGGCTAAACAAGAGCCTCCAGCAACCCATCACATCTGACAAATGAATAGATGAAATTCCCATTCGAATGTCCAAGTGTTTCACAGCGCTATCTAGTGTGGGCAGATGACGTGTCCCACAGGGACTTCACCTGCCCACACAAAGATGGCAGCGCCCAGGATCTAGGTCCAGGCACAAAATAAAGATTTAAAAATATGTAATACGGGGGCCTGAGGGGCCTTTGTGGGTGACTAGGGGGACAATTAGATGTAGTGGAGTCAGTAGGGGGTTTAAAAAAAGAAACCAAAACCTGGATTCGGCCATGACAGTGCCACTTTAACACTGAATGGAGATAGAGTAGAAGGATACTCAAAGCATTATAACCAAAAGATTAATTTGTTACAGTGCCTACAGTGTTTTGTCATGCATTGTATTGATATTTTTGAGGGACTCGTGTAGATATAGGGATTATTTTACAGCTTAATTAAGTACAGTTAATTATTAAGTGTTCTTGCATAGCAAGACCACTTATTGTTATCTCACATATATATTATTATTCTTATTATAGCCAAATTTGCCACCCTAACTCCTCCCACAGTTTTTACACTACATAGACCAAAATTTACCAAAACGTGCAGATTGTTCCCGATCGGATTGCTATTACTTTGTGGAACGTTTCGCCGAATGGTTCACGGAATATCGTCGTTCTTGTGGCTAAATTTGTCCCATAGGAATGAATGGCAAACCTAGAGTGGGAGCTGGCAAAAGCTGAAAAATCAGGACATGATTTCTAAACTGCCACCACTCCCTTATTTTCAGGCCCACCTACACAAATCTTATATCAAAACGTTCAGCTATCCCTGCTGCCACTAAATATGTCAACGGCTAAGCCGTAGTCCTGATAGTTTTCACAATATGACCATTTGTTTGCAACCAACGCCGTCCATTGACATTCATTGAAACTTCACTCTGCAAAGCTCAAATTTGAAGTGCAATTTCTAAACTGCGACTGTGCCTTCCATTTTAATACTTCAGAGACATACTATGCATCAAAATGTAGGTCTGGGTCTTGTGATTCTCACAATATAAAGCTCTTCACTGTAGGAGTTATAGTTTTTAAAATACGACTGTTTGAAGATGGCAACCGCCAAAATACTCTGACCTGTGTCAGGCTGCAGCAGCAAGTGATGTCATAGACAGGGCCTTTTGAACACCTGCTAATGTTTTTATAAATGTATGGTTTAATGTAACTGTGCAACAACGTTGCAATTAAATGTGCTATATAAATTATAACAGTTACTCCGCCCACTCCAGTTGTAGACTACTGGTGGAGGCAAGAACACTTCACACAATTTCCCCAGAAATTGTAGCTTTTCTAGTTTAAAATGTTACCATTACACTATACAATGCCAGCACAAACAAGTGCTATTTTCAGCCAGTTGGTGGCTGGCATTGTTACCAAGTAGCTTCACTCCTCTTTTATGTATCCACCAAGGCATCTTGTTGTGTGACTTCATAGTGAGGCTGTGTAAGATGTCATCACTGCTGCACATTAACATCATGTCCATTATGTCCTTGTGCAGTGTGACATCATTGCAGAGGAATCGAATACTCTTTCCAGATGGATAAAAGCAAATCCCTTCCAGACAGGTAGGAAACACCAGTAACAGAGTAGAGAGGGCAAGTTAAATGAGGAGTCATTGTATGGGGCAAGTTACGTGTGGGGAGAAGGAGTGATAGGATAGGACTAGTTTTACCAAAAGACCAATAGAAATTTAGAAATGTAGCCTATCAAGCGGACACCAATATGGAGATAGACTTTAAAAAGAGGAAAAAGATGTAAAGCTAATATAAACTGGCAAGTCTAACACGTATTATTACAAATTACATTTCTAAATGATATACACCATAAAGGAGAAATATACCAATATTTTCACACTGCAACTATCTAGAGTCCAATAAAAATGTAAAGCCACAAGGCAACTTAAAGCAGTCTTCATTTCAAGAGGTAGCTTTTATGTTACTGACACATCTTAAAATTATTAATTAGCTGAGAAACCACAAGCATTATAGTGAGCTTATAGTTAGTAGGTGACTTCAGTATTTCAGTTACCTAAACTGCAGGATTCTAAACTAGCAACAAGTATGCTTCCAGCAGCTATATTTTAAGAACTTTATTTCGGTGTTTTTCACTGTATACTGATGGCCAGGTGTCCGGTTAATCTCAGTTTGTTTGAGTCATAACTTAGCATGTGCATCCTAAAATAGTTCTTACATCTCCTGTTAGAAAAGCCACTGCATTTTGCATTCCATTACCTCAGACACAGATAGAGGCCAAACTCCATTATATTAACCCCTTACGGACCAAACTTCTGGAATAAAAGGGAATCATGACATGTCACGCATGCCATGTGTCCTTAAGGGGTTAAATAAGAAAAGGAAAATGGGTGGTTAAATTAAAATTACAGCACTTCCAACAGGTTTGTATGGAGTAAAAATGAATCAAATTCTACATGGGCCCTTAGTTAATTAGGATAATTATATGAAAATAAATAAATCAGCAATTAGATTTAAAGATTTTAAAGTATTTTCTTATGATTGGCTCTATCCCCTTTTAAGAATGAGTTGTGTTAAAATAACAGAATTTGCATAAAACGTGCACACAGAGTGGTTTATGCGCTAAACATAGACCTGTACTAATATAAAAAAAGGGACTAACTTAGAAAAACGTGGGCAATAGCCAACTTAGAAACACGCTGTGCTCCTATTTAGCTGTAGGCAAAACTTGGTCTCAATTTTTCAATCCAATTTGCAATTCACCACATCTTATTGTTTAGTCAATACGCTCTTCAGAGACTGAATTGAATTTATAAAACTTAAAACTTAATTAAGAGTAGATAAAATACCTTGGATTAACCAATCAATTTACTGTCTACTGTATTTACTGTACTGACTGATGCTCTGGTGAAGGTATGCCATTTAGTGAAAGGTAGAAACAGGGATTCCATCAGTCATACCTCCCAGAATTGTGTACACATTCTCAAATATATACTCACAGACACAAACACATTGCCAGACAAATGCACTCACTCCCAGAAACACACACACACACACACACTGCAATATATTAGTTTCATGTTTTTTAGTAATTCTCCTGTTTTTCTACTGTTTTGTTTCAGGAGAGTCCAGTAGCAGGTGGAATCTGGTGCAGATTCCTGTGTGCAGGTAGAAAGTGCTGCAATGTCACATCTTCACAGCAATGCCGCAGAGTGAATGAACCATGTACCCTCCAAATGGCGCCTTGCTCAGAAACCACAATGCCGTTTGCTATTTACTAGATGGTGTTGTGGTTTCACTGACTGAAAAAAATAAATCTTTTCGTTTTTGTGGAATAAATGCTAGACTTGGTAAACCAGGCATTAGGTCTCACTAGAAGAGCGATGCTGCAAAATTACCCTTTCAGTTCTTCATCAGAAACATGAAAATATACATAAAAGCAGATCTGAACTGCTGTAGAGAGTTGAGGACAAAGCTGAAATCTTGCAGGCGAAAACAGATGTATCAGTAGAGTAACCAACTTGGCTTAAAGGATTACTTCAACCCTTTTGGAGGGGGAACCTTTCCTGTGTAAATTTCCCTATTAGGCACAATGAAGGAGGTCCCTCCTCCCCCTCCATCCCTCGTTTACAGTACAATCTGCAATCAAAAGGTTTTTGCTTACCTGACTTCCACGCCCCCACCAATGTCACTGAGGCATTGCATGGTCCATTCACAATCTTGGTCCGTTTGACTGTCTCTGGACCTGCTGGGGTGGGGGGGTGGGGGGAAGGAGTGGAGAGCAAGGAACGGCGGAGGGAAAGAATGGAGGGGGTGGGAGGGGGAAGCAATCTTCACCCTGCAGGAGCTCACCCTGTAAGGGAGAAGAAGTCTATGTCTTTGGTCAGGGTGCTGTGCGTGCTGACGACAGACACAAAAGATGTACAGAATTGACATTGGCAGTCTGGAACAGAGTTCTGGGCTGCCAATGTCATGTGTACTGGGTGTGCAACTGGCCCCTAGAACACAATTACAAATATCTCAGTCACCATCATTGATAGACACCTTAAAAAGTCCCGTGCAAGATTCACAGCATTTGTTCTTTCAGAAAAGCGAAAAAAGCTACATATAGTGAGTTTACATACATGAGGTAACACCCCAAAGAGCTAAAAGCAGTCACAAAAACCAATGGAATGTTTCTGTTTCTTGCTCCACTTTGTTTTAAAATATTTCTTTATACAATTTTTACAAGCAGCTT